GCCTCCTGGGACCGGTGCGACTTACTACGAGCGAACTACGCACGCGGTAGGTGTGATTGCTCCGCAAGACCATACCTCCTGCCTCGTAAGCGTGCATAGCCTCAATGTGATAATCGCTCAATTCTTGGCCTACTTGCTGGGCACTTGGCGAAGAGCCAAGAGTGGAAACGTGGATGCGTGGACATCCCGCCCAAAGCTGGCGACCGTTTGAGACATGGAAACCCGGAGCCATTCAGGGGACCTTTTCGAGGGCCTCAACGTGTTGGAAGTGTACTATGTGCTCAGGGAATGTCAAGGGGAGGTGGTTGCGACAGAGTTCATCTACATACGGCCGGCGCGACTACAAGGTTGACAGGCTGGTGTATTGACATTTGCGCCGAAGATCGAGATCATGTTGAATGATTCTTACAGGCGTGTACATGATCTGGTGTGCCGTAAACATCTCGTTGAGATGAGCGGCATTTGGCAAGCATCGATGGCCCACTGCATAGAATGCGAGTGCGACAGGCCATTCGCCCGAGCCGGGAAGTCAGCAAGGCATCCGATGGGCAGTCGGGCGGCTCTGTAATCCAAGTAATTCAAGGTATGTGGTATAGCCAGCCAACCAGCCACAGCTGTCGCCACCAGTGATGATGGGATGGCGTGACAGGAGCATGGGATCGCAGCGAAAACTGGAGTAGATTGGATGCCAATACTTCCCGCTGCTGCTCATAAGCCAAGGGCACCAAGAATTCCGCATTTTGATTGCTGTTTCGGTTGTGTCGCTTCTGTGTGAGGGGTCGAGCGTGCGGCAAGGCACCCACCGGCGCGCACAACAACGCCCATGGCCCTGCGTGTGCGTGGTGTCTCTGGATGCGCCGACCAAATACCCCGCGAAAACAGGGAGCGCGTACGTGAATCTGGGTCGCATGTGGTCATTTGCGAGTGACGGATGTCGGCGAAGCCATCGCGTTCGGCCAAGATGAGGGCCAAGGCGCCAGTGAGCACGAGAGTGGGGCGGCTGAGCAGGCAAGGCCGAATCACAGGACGTCTGCGCCCACCCTACACGGACCATGCCTGCCCTGGCCTAGCCCGGCAGTGCCTCGCTCATGGGCCGCGCCAGTTTCTCTTTCTCTGGGCGAATCTTCGCCCGCTCCGTTCCGCTGGTAAAAGCTGCCAACTGCCCCCGAGAACCTCTGGGCGCCCTCTCCTCTGACTTTGCTCCACGACCCCAGACTGCCCCTTCCTTACCGTAGCTTAACTTTGCGATAACTGTCATCGCTCTGCGCGGTTTTGACTCTCTCACCCACATTTCACCCTCACCATTGTTGGTAACTGCCAGCACCTTCGCCAAGACGATGAGCGAGGTTCAGAATACAGTGCCCGCAGCGGCCACGACTCCTCAACAGCAGCCCCAGGGCACCCCCATCCAGCAGAATGCCCCAACTCCCGCCTCAGTCTCTGCAGGCTCGGGCGACCAGCTTACCTGCCAGTGGCAGAACTGCGGCGACCGTCTTCCCTCTGCTGAGCAGCTCTATGTAAGTTCTTCGCCAAGTGTGCTTAGCGACGGCTGCATACCGCGCCGCGACGCGTAGAACACTGCCATTACTCGTCTTTGCAGCTCGCTGACTTGCGTGCAGGACCACGTCTGTGAGCGCCATGTTGGTCGCAAGAGCACCAACAACCTGAATTTGACCTGCCAGTGGGGTAACTGCCGCACCACCACGGTCAAGCGCGACCACATCACTTCCCACATTCGCGTGCACGTGCCGCTGAAGCCGCACAAGTGCGATTTCTGCGGTAAGGCGTTCAAGCGTCCTCAGGATCTGAAGAAGCACGTAAAGACGCACGCCGACGATTCCGTGCTACTCCGCTCCCCAGAGCCCAACCGAGGCGGTCCCCACGGCGCCCAAGGGTACCCGGGCCAAAACGGCAAGCGTAAGTACTGCTCACATGACTTGGTCGATCTCAACTTCGATCCATGTCTGCTACCCAACTTCGATCATCCTCTAACAGAACATGCAGTTGTCGCTGACTTGCAGGCGCTTGCCGCCACAGCGAGTGGATACCAATATCCTGATGGTGCCCTCGGCCCCAACGGAGGTTACGGCCAGCAACACCCAGGTGGTGCCCCAGCCGGATTCTACGGAGGCCCACCCCAGAACTCCGCCTATGGCCCTGTCTACTATGCTGTGAACCAATCGCAACAGCTCAACAACGACTACGAAATCAGGAAGCGCGCCGCGTATGATGCGCTCAACGAGTTCTTCGGAGACGCCAAGCGTCGCGCCATTGACCCAACCACCTACTATGATGTCGGCCAACGGCTCATGGGTCTCCAAGGTGTTCAGCTTCCCGTCCTTGGTGGCGGTGGAGGCGGCTACCAGGGCCAGGGCATGTCTGAGTATGGCCACGGCGGCTCAATGGTTGCTCAAGCACAGCACCCACCCATGCACCACCCCTACTCTCTGCCGCTTCCCAACCTTAGGACCAAGAGCGATCTCTTGAACATTGACCAGTTCTTGGAGCAACTGCAAAGCACCGTCTATGAGAACCCCAACCACGCTGCGGCTGCTGGTGTCGCCCACCCCGGACACTACGTTCCTACCGGCGTTGGCTACCGCTCCAGCAACTCGCCACCTGGCCTTTCGTCTAGCCACTCCCAGTCGTCTCACGCCACTGCCATCGGATCCACCAGCGCTGAGACCCCTGCTTTGACACCAGCATCCAGCGTGCTATCATACGGATCTCAGCACTCTCCCGGTGCGCAGCACTCCAACAACGGTGTTTCTCCCACATCAAGGAGTTCGATTGGTAGCATGTACCCTACTCTACCATCTGTCAGCGCGATGTCAGACATGTCAGCTGCTGCACCATCTTCTGGACTTGCACCAGCGTTTGATTCTGATGGCCGTCGCCGCTTCTCTGGTAACCTCCTCCAGAAAGCCGCTCCAGACCGATCAGAGCACGACTCCATGGATATGTCAAGCGACGGTGCGTCGCCCAAGGATCGCCGGGACTCTGAGCAAAACAGTCTTCACCATGACGTTAACCAGTTGGCTATCCACTCGCCCAAGGTTGACCCTGCTCTTCGCTCACCAAGCATTGCGTCGTCAAACAACACAGAACAAGGCGACCAGTCTCAGCAATCCTGGGTTGAGAACATCCGAGTCATTGAGAGGCTCAGGGCGTATCTCAAAGACAGACTCGAGTCGCATGACTTCTCTGACGATGAGGAAGACGTCAAGCACGATCTCGAGCGCCGCATGAGCGACGACGATGCACACAACCTCTACCCCGTACTGCGCGCTGTACAAGAGGGCCGAGAGTAGTGTTTCTCTTCTTGGGCGGGTTCAAGATGCTTTATGGAGTTCAGAAGGGAATGATGGCGTCAAGGAGTTAACCAGGCTTGGTGGCATCATCAGGGACGATGGCCAATAACTGTTTCGATCGGTATAGCGATGTCTTGTTATGTTCTTTCACGGCTGCCATTAGGGAATAGGCCCTTCGGTAGCATGTTCAGCTTTCCACTTGTTAGTAGCAGTGTGCGAATATCACGATTATTCAAAGTTTCAACTCGAGGATTACATGACATGTATGTGATTGATTGACATTTGAGCAGTCGTCGCGCAACTAATATGCAAACCTTGAAGCATGTGTAGAAGATCATCATACCCGAGTCGTCTTTCAAGACGGTGGCATCTGCTTGGCAGCCCGCGTTATCAATTTGCCAAGCTTATGACCAATTCCGACCCCACACTGAATCTCGTAGATCGTCGTTTAGACAAGCCTTTCCCCACGTTCGTATCAATCCAGAACATTGGGCGCAGATTGATATGGTTTCGCATGACCCACTCGGAGCCGCGTACCGTGTAGCAACGTCTAACCTCTCCATTCATCTTCTTCTTTGATCAATTCTTTGGTTCAACATTGATAGCTCTTGTGCACCTACGCCCAATACAACAAATTGCAAAACGAGGCCGTAGTCTGTCGCTGTAAGCATCTGATCACGATGGCGTACGGACGCGGTGGTGCAGGCAATTACTACGCGGCGCAGGAGCAAAGTAAGAAGGTTGCCGAAGTGAGTCGATAATGATCATGCATTCTTAATCCTCTATGCCCAGGTGTTCTTAGGTATGCTGACCGTCAACACAGGACGTCGAAGCCAACCGCTCTTCCACCACTGCCGCTGCGCAACCTTCACGCGACCCTCCACAAGTGCAGCCCTCCAATGCGTCGCAAGACTACGCACACATGGGTCGTGGTGGTGCCGGCAATTGGTACCAGCCCACTGAACTTCAGAAAGAGGGCACCTTCACGCAGGCTGCTGACGCAACTGCTATTCCCACATCATCGAAGCCACAGATTAGCAAGCCATGGCATCCAGAAGGCCAGGAACTTCCTGTTGCGAGGAGTGGAAGAGGTGGCGCTGGTAACTTCGTATGGAAAAGTGAGGAACAAACGAAGGGACAGATCCAAGATGAGGAGAAGAGAATTGAGGGGCTGAGGAACGAAGTGGAGAGAAGTGTTGAGGCTGGCTTGGCGAAACCGCCTGGCGCACTGCTTGGGAAGGAAACGCAGAAGGGCTGGTGAGCTGTGGACTAGTATCCGGTAGAACATGCGCGAAGTCAGTGCAGGGCGATTTTGACATTAATGTGGAAAACATTCCATCGCGAAACAACGAAGCTCTGTCTTGTGCGCTGTGCGCCAGTTGTGCCTCTCTGCAGGACGTCAACCTAGAAGCCCTGGAGAAACCTGAACATCCTAGAGCCTACATTAAGGCTAGCTTACCCACTTCCATGTTTACATCTCAATGTAGTCTGCAGTCTCCACGTGCCCTCACATCTCGTGGTTCCTCATGACGTCGTTTCCTGTTCGGGACGTTAAGGCCCGTGCGCTTTGTTTATCCATGCTCTAGCCGATATCTTCCCCGTCCCTCCCCACCCACAGGCCAGTCCCAATCTCCGCTCCCTTCGTGTTGCAACCTAGTAGCTGATCCTTCTTGAACATTTCTTGACAAGATGGCGCGTCGATCAGCTCGTCTGCTCAAGGTACGCGCACATTGCTTTTCCACCGTTTGTTTACATTTACTGATGCGTCTGTTGTAGCGCGAGACTACGCCCTCCGAAGATAGTTGGCACACTGCCTCGTCGCCCAACTTGGGCCTTCCAGATCTTCCAGAATTGCCAGAGCCTGTTATGGCGCGGAAGACGCCCTCGAACGCCTCTGCAGGTCCCAAGGCCCAGTCCAAGTTACCGCAAGCGGCCGCGACACCCACACCTCATAAGAGCAAATCAACCAAGTCGCTCATTGATGACGCCAAGAGCCAAACACCCAAAGATCGCACTCCGATCAAGCCGGCAGGACAGGAGATGCATCCAGCGCATCACCACGCGAGCACAGCCAAGATCCTGGATGAGGCGCGCTGGCTCGGTTTTCAGTCACTGGGTACCGCGCCATCCAAAGCGACCGGCCTGGTGGGTCAGGCAACGCCCTCGAAGACTCCTGTAGCTGCCTCCTCGATGGCCAATGTAGGGTCATCGCCTAACTTCCGTTTCCGCTTCAAGTCGCCTTTCTCGAAACAAGACGAAGCCACGCTGAGCCCAAGCTCGCGCAACATCCTGAAAGACGCTGGGATCGCAGGCACTCCTGGTGGTGGCAGCCGTGCTCTGTTCGGTACGTTAAAGTGATAGTCAACTCAACCTGTTTTGCTTTTTCTAATCGCTATTTTCATATAGGCACGAGCGAGTGGTCCTCCAAGGTCGACGTGTCTCCCCAGCGCAAGATGGCCGAAGCCAAGGGCAAGATGGCTCGCTTCAGCGACGTACACATGAAGCAGTTCAAGAACATGGACTCCATCGCGAACCACCCGTCAGCTTTCCGCGCCGACCCGACACGATTCAAGCCCGTCGTGGGCCAGTCGATCAAGAAGTCGCCCTCGAAACCAGAGCTCGCGAACACGGAGACGAACAAACTCAAGCGTACACAGTCGAAGGCAGATCTGGCGGAGCCGAGCTCGAGTGCCGCTGGAGGTCTAAAGCGCACACAGTCGAAGATGGACCTCGCAGGATCCGGAAGCAAGATTCCCCCAACCCCGTTGAAGCGCACTCAATCCAAGATGGACCTCACCGGATCTGCCCTGCCACGCTCCCAGCCACCAGCTCGCATGGCTCCTCCTACACGCGATGGACGACCGGCCTCCCGCGACGGCGACGGTGACCGTAACCCGGTAGCTAAGCGTGTCAAGCGCACCGAATCTGACGATGCTGCCACCACCCGCCCTGCGTCTCGCGAAAAGGTGCCCGATGTCCCAGCCCGCGCAGCTGCTACTCCGGCCCGTAAGAAGACATCTCAAACTGCACTCCCTCGTCTAGCTGCGCGATTGATGACGCCTACGAAGTCGTCTATCGCGCGTTCACAGAGCGTCAAGACTCTGAAGACGACATCGATGATTCCAACTCTAGGCAAGTCGCCTTCCACGAACAACCTGGGAGCTTCGCCGTCTGTCAATCGTAGCTTCGAGTCGTCCTCTGCCCGTAATACCTTCTCTCCTCCTAGCAACATTGGCCATCTGCAGACTTTGAGGGACAATGCACGCGAGAGCATGCGCAAGGTATGTCTTTTTATGGGCGCTTTTCCAAGTATCCACTAACATCAGCAGGCAAGCAGCAACTTGCAGCGCGTCCGATCAATTCTTCGCACGCCAAACCGCAAATTCTCGGACGATCCTAGCAAAATCGCGGCAGGCACTCACATGTCACCTCCAACCATGAGCCTCGACAAAGCACCGTCCCTGGTCCCTGCTACAGCTCCTGTGAAGAAGCAAGTCAACTTCAGCAGTAGTACTTTGGAGCGCGCGTCGCACGACGAGCTGGGCAAATCACCCTCCCCGATGAAGTTCAGGGCAGGCAGTGAAGTGCCTGCTGGTGCTGTGATCTATCCTACTCTCGGCTCAGGAGCACACAATGGCCCAGATCTTTCTCAAGAGATTGAAACTCTGACCGCTTCTCCATCTCGTCGCCTCACATTCGGTGGCGAAGCTCCTAATCATCCACGTTCCTTTTCCTTCGAGTCCGGCAACACTGTCAGCTTTGGTAGGTCCTCGTCTTGTCTCTCTTTACCGACGATTAACTAATTTCCTTAGGCCCTGTATCGACTGGCACGATCCGCATGGTACGTCCGAGCGATGCATCTTCTCTTGTCGACGGCACAAAGCGCAAGCTGGAGACCCTCCAGGAGACATCCGACAAGGAGAACGATGGACCTAATGACGACGACACACGCTCCAACAAGAAGATGAAGCGGACACCTGCACCCGCTCCAAAGGCCCCTGCCAGCGCAAGCAAGCCAGCTCGCCACACCCCAGGACGTGCGGGTGCTATCAGCAAGTCAAGGCTCGCCTTCCTTGCTACGCCTAAACGAAGCAGGGCGTAAGCTTGCTTATCTTGGTCGGAGAATGTGATGCTACTGAGGTGTGTTCGTCACAAGCTGTAGCGAACATGCATCATCCATGATTCGACGGGCATTTGTTCCCAGTTCACTCTCCAGTCATTTGCTGGCGTACTTGTCACGATGCTTGTGCATCGCCTCATGACTTACGATACTTCCTTCTTGTCAAATCTTTGTTCTTTCTCACGTCATAATTGGCATCGGGGCGTAACGGTTCTCCAGGCATAACCCTCAAAATCTTTCCTTTTGTTTCTGGATCTTACGTGTCCGATGGACACTGATCATTACGAGAACGGTACACATGATCAAGCCTAGCTTGTGTATTATACTGAATCAACGATTGCATGACCACCAAATTTCCAACGAGTGATGTGTGAGTTGTGTACTGCGTCAGCAGGGGCGGCAACAAGTCGTGGCGTGTTGTAAAGAATTGTTGAAGAATCCATCAAGCTAGAAGTATACGTGATCTTAGAAATTATTGACTTGCTAAGTTATAACAGTGTGTATGCAGCGAAGCCTAACGTTCAGTGACTATTCGTAGGTGGGAGACATGTGCAGTCAAGTGGGTCGATGCGGCACTGGGCGGTCGGAGCTTCCGTACCAGTCGCTCATACTTTTGGCCGATCAACATTGATTCACACCGCCTACAGCCGCCCCCCACTACACAACCAAGGGCTTTTTCTGGCAGCTTACTACGTCATTCGCATACGCGGACTGCTTACGGCCTGCTACACTGGCAGGGCGAGTCTCACACCACCACCGTGGCGTCGCTAAGTAACCTGGTCGACGAATTGAAGAAATCCTTCAACTTCCGCGACTCTCGATCTCTACTAAGCTCCACGACAACTTCTTCGTCGGGCGACACTGAAAACCAACACACGAACGCGCTATCGAAACTGTTGCGCGCCCTACAGCACCGCAGCTTCCACGACGTCGCCGAGTTCCTCACGAACCCTCGCCTCGACGACCCTACCTACCTTACCACCCTTGCTATCGCACTAGCCTCTGTCATCGTCACCATGTCCTGGTTCTCCCGCACCGGCGGAAACTGGGGAGGACGCTTCTCGCCATTTGGCCGTCCAGGCAACTCGCCAAACGCCGGCGTCGTTAACGACTCTGACTTTTCCTACATCACCAACGAAGACCTCCGACGAAATGGTCAAGCGCAAGCACCCGAAATCGTCGACTGGGATGACAAGAACCCAGAACGGGAAACAGACGTTCTCATCTTCAAGAACGGGCGCACACATTATCCTACACACTTCCCCGCGCACAGCATACGCGATGGAGACCTGAAGATTGGTACAGTTCGACAAGCGGCAGCAAAGAAGCTGGGCGTCGATGACCACAGGCGGATACGCATGTTCTACAAGGGCAGGAATTTGAAGCACGACGAGCGGACTGGCCGAGAAGAAGGCCTCCGTGGTGACGGAACCGGGAGTGAGATTCTAGTCACAGTAGGCGAAACCCCAGTCGGTGGCCTAGCACCCGGATCAGAAGACGCACCACAACACGCATACAGCGAGGGAGAGGACGACGATGATGACGAAGATGACGTCGACTCTGGCGCGAATACCACAGGCAAGAAGAAGTCCCGCAAGCGCGGCGGCAGGAAGAGCAAGAAGAAGGGTCCTTCTTCCGCAAACGCCTCTGGCACCTCAACACCCGGCTACACAACTGGCGGGGCCGGCGCAGAATACCTCCCTATCCCCTCGCATATCAGTGCGGCACCGCGCCCGAGTCCCACTCCTCCCCCAGCCAAACCCGCCGAGCCCCAAACCCCGATCGGCAAACTCGATGCCATCGCCAGCAAGTTCCACACCGAGTTCGTACCCATGTGCGTGCAATTCATGGCCAGCCCGCCAGAAGATAAGGCGAAGAGGACATTCGAATACAAGAAGCTGAGTGAGACTATCTTGACCCAGATCATCTTCAAGCTAGATGGTGTCGAGACGGAAGGTGATCCAGAAGCTAGGCTCAAGCGCAAGGCTCTCGTCAAGGAGGTCCAGGGCATGCTGACAAGGCTGGATGAGGCCGGAAAGGCTGGTTAAGATGTGATCGTAGACGAGAGGAAATAAGCTTAAGCATCGTTACATGGTGCTGTGAGGCGGGGAACTAATTTCGTTAATGGGGATTGCACGTGCATGCTCTCCTTGCTGTCGCTCTACTTTCTTCTCGGGTCTGCATTGGTGATAGTTATCAAGGAGCATCTAGCGAGCGATGCTGATGATCGGCTAGCGATCGATTTGCGTATCAACATTAACGAAGCTCTTCGCTCTATTTTCTGCTTGTGTGAAGTGTCTGATGCCTGCATCATTGTTCTTTGTATCACTCTCTTGGTCCCGTCTGCCTCTCTTTCACGACCTGTATCCTTTATCTCACGCTTTGTCAGTGCCCCATTGTGTTCATGTCTCTCTAGCTCCTGCCTGGATGCGAAATGCCAAGAGCAAGCTACATCATCTGATGACTTTCCGTATGCGTCTTGCACATGAAAAGCCAATCTCAAGTTCGAATGCACTGGGATTCATATCGCTCGTTGGCCGTTCACAACTCGCAAGACCACGCACCATGAGTACGGAAGCTAGCCACCAATCGCTACAAAGTCTCCACGAAGCACTTGCCTGGAATGGTCTCCCGCCTATAGGATCCTCCCAAATATTGTCGTCGAAATCCATCGATGCTCTCGACATTACAAGTGTCCCCCGTTTCAAGGCAGCCTCTTACATTACTACCGGGATTGATCGTGTCAGCAGCAGAGGTACCGACAATCTTATCTCTCATGCCATCCCAATCGGCAACTGCGCTCGACTTCTTAAAGCTGTAACCAACAACCAGACACTCCGCAAATCTGAGATTAGGTCAACGAAATATCCTCGCCGCTGGTCGGTTGATTGCTCGGCCTATTCTGGGGGAGGAGATCTGTCGTCAACCAAGAGTGATGGGCATCACGAAGCGCGCAAGTATGATAGTGTCTTCGAAGACACTGATGCGTTCAGGGAAGCAGAAGCCTTTAGTTGGGATACCTACACGAGTATTCGGCGGCTAGATGTCTTTGATCGCGACTACATTCCCACCGCAAAGCCCAGCTATACTGTCCTCGAAACCGCAAATGCATCGATCGAAGAATCTCAGTTTGTCCACTTTCTCACTCTCGGCCCTGAAGACGGTTGGTTTCACGATAGTCACATAGATACATCTCTGGATATACTGGAACGAGCAGTCAACTGCCAGAAACACGGGATCGCAATCTGTCGTATTAGTCAGGGAGCCGAGCTCTACACCAGTATGAGGAAAGCGCAGGAACTTCAAGATCAGGAGGCAGTATGGTTCGATAGACTGCTGATTGAGAAATGCAGGGACAAAGACTTCATCTTGGTACCGATCAGTAACGCGTACGAAGAAGTTTACGAGACAGGCATGGAACGTGAACGTCAGTATGAAGCGGCCAAGACGAACCTTAACACAGATTCCACGCTTCCTGAACAAACCGCAGGCAATCACTGGTCTCTTCTCCTCGTCGACTGTCGCTCTTCGACCATCAAAGGCCGCTACTTTGACTCCAGCTACCACGAATCCGCTGGCCTTGTACATCACTACGCAATCGAAGACTCGAACATTTGCAAGGCGGCCCTAATGATCTTAACTGGCGTACGAACGATGCTCAATCATGTCCAACCGGGACGTTTCAACGAGGAAGAATTTGTGTTTGACATTGACACACACTGCCCTAACCAAGGCCATGAGAACGTCAGCGGCGAAGAAGACGGTCTGGGCGCTTGTGGCCCTTTCGTGTGGGAAATGAGTAAGGAAATCACGCAATACATTGCCGACTGTCATGAAGACCCCAACTTTCCCGATGTTGGTCAGGTTGACCCTTGTTTACCAGACGGTTACCAGCGCCGTAGGAACTGGGACTCGACGAAGACGCGTAGGGCGATATGGAATCTTGTGTTGAGAGAGCTGAGAACCCGGGAGTGGCTGAATCGTACTCCGGAATGGATGGATAGTGTGGGACACAGGATTTCCACGCCGGGGGACGGTGTGACAGGTTGGAGATCTTGGCTGAAAGGAAAGGGATTGAACGAGATGACCTTTTGGGATCCATGGGGGCTAGAGAGTGAGCTGGCGCCTCAGTTTGGGCGGCCGGTTATAGCAGGCTCATAACCTTGTCACCTTTTCGATATCTCTCGAACTTATAGTGCAAAGAGTGATGCTCACGAAACATATCGAAATCTCTCAAAGTACCAGTCCTGACTTGGCTACTACTTGGTGATTGGGGAAGTTGAGAACAGTATGATGTGAAACTTTAGAATCTTCATAAGCTCTCAAACTATGACGATTGCCTAGAATCCTGATTTTGAAGGCCATGCCACGGATCCCAGAAATAATCCGCAGTTATCCTTTCCCTCCTGGCCACCAGCCAATCTTTCCACCCGGGCTGCCCATCTGTTTCCCACCAGTCATGCGTACCATTGAGCCAAACCCTCGACCTTCGTTCTAGTTCAAGCAGGTTCTTTATCCTGTTCCGCGTCGCTCCCGAATCCCAACACCAACGTTGCGCAAAGCCAGTGGGTAAGGTGATGTCAATGTCGACATGGCGGCCCAGACGGTGAGCGTCTTCATGACATTCGATTATATACTGTACCATGTCTTTCGCAAAAGCCCATACAAAAGGCCCACAGGCACCGCCGCCATCAGCGTAGCACCGGTTGTGGAGCTTTTGATTTGGGCAGCACGTTTCTTGGTGGAGGTTAGTGTCAAGCGTTTCTTGATTAATCTTGTAGTCTGGCCGAGTTTCTGCATAGATTTTGCTGAAGCCACGAAGTAGTACCATAGCCGCATCAAAGTTGCTGGACGTACCATCGGAGTCATAGTGTCGTGCATGGACAACCGGCTGGTGACAGTCGATGATCACCAAGGTCCAATGTGTACCGAGCAAATGGCCGCTACGATCTCCAGCATGTATCCTTTTCCAGCCATTACTCACCGGAATCAAGACGAAGTTGTTTGTTCCTATCGTCTTCTGCAGCGCTCCCCCCGCTTCTAAAGTCGCGGTCTCGTCGCGGCCAATCGTGTACAATTCCGCAGCGAAAGGCGTACCGAGAATGGCGATGTCGTGATATTCGCAACCAAGTATACGGTAGATGGCATCGAGGCCAATGTCCAGAACTTCATCATAGAACCAGACTCCGATGTGATCAATTTCGCCGAAGTGTTCGTTGTGAAGCTGAGCCCTTTCCGTCTCGAGGTATACCATGTGCTTGTCGCGTTCTAGCTCGTTGTTACTAAGCTTGTGCCTTTGAAGCACAAGATCTCTTTCCACAGCATCTTCTACTGCTCCGCCATCGTCGTTGCTCAAGTGAGGGTATCGCTGATCCGGCGTTTGGTACAAGTCGACAGACCATCGCCGGCGTGAATAAGGAACTGTGCGGGCACTTCCACATGCCTCATCTATTTTATCGTCGCGATCCTCCGTTAAAAGAGCGCCGGACCGAGTGGTGTGTGTATGTCGTGTGCGAATGCGCTCGGTCGATATAGACTCGTCCAGGTCGACCTGGGAGAGACCTTGCGTACTAAAGAAGTCATTCAGTATGTCTTGTTTGCTTGCTACGAGCGCTTCAGATGAGCTCTGGATCTTTTGGAAAAGGTGCCTGCGTTCGTCCATCATCGCAAAGTCCTTCTTTCCCTCTTCATCGACAGAGGTGAGCTTGAGGCACAACGCTAAAGCCACGGTCGTGAGGTATACATCAGAAGGCTTTGAGTATGCTAGAGAGCATATAGCCTTTGTCTAAGCGGCTTTTGTTGGTATTGTTGTGATGTCATCAGCTTTGTGGCTGTACGACCCCTTGATCACTAAACAAAGAATGGTGAGTGACAAAAGGTCAATGAGTGCCTCAGTGTGTACAAACCTAATGATGATACATGGCGATGAAGTAGTCGAATGGTTCTGCTACATGGTCTTTGCGTAGTCAGTATATGTGGAAAGGCCAGTCATGAAATCTAAGGCACCTGGCACCCACGACGTTGGATTAAGGATCACATTTTCGACGTTGGATTAAAGTTCGAAACAGCTATGAAAAGCCCTCCGTGGATCTGAGCTAGGATTACCAGCCGTCGGCCTGTGCTACACTAAGGAAGGGGAGTCAGTTCCCAGGAGACAAAGTGTCGGAGTCGGAGTGGGTGTATCGGTCTCGGTCTCGGGATCACCCTAGCCTTTTTCGTTCGGTGGACGTTCGCCCGAGCCCGTCACAGAAACTGACTAGAGCACCCGAGCATCTCCCGCTTTTCAAAATGCCCTTGTTTTGTGCATACGCCACCCTGTGGAGACTGTTTTACCTTGTCTACGGGTCTGTCCTCGCGTTATGGGGGTGGAGCCTGTTGACGGCGTGTCAGTACCACGTGGGACCGCGCCATAGCAGAGGCGACGATCAGGTCATGCTAGGATCAATGGATGATGAGTAAACAGTACTTGTGCGACTTAGGCTAAAGGTATACAACGCTTGTTAGAGCGAGACTCTGACGAAAAGGTACATGGTAGGCGCGCCCCACTGAGCGGTGTCACGTTCGCTTTTGATTGCTCGACTTGACTACTTCAAAGACCAGACTCCATTTTCCTCAATGATGTCAATCGGCCGGTTTTCATCGAGCGATCTCCTACCTGCCTCGAGAATTGCTGTCGTCGCGATAGTGTTTTTCAGGGTTGGGAGTGGCCGCGCGTCTAGCTGTTCGAGTGTGACCTCACCTGCGTTGAGCTTGTTGACGGCATCAACGAACTTCTCAAAAGAAATGTATCCGTAGCCGATCTGGCCTGCGAAGTTGCCCTCCTCATCGGGAGCGTACTTCATGTAAAATCTGAAAGTGGTTAGTACGCAAAGGGATGACTTTGCGATATTTGAACTCACGGGTTGTACCAGAGGAGACCACCCTCGTCGTCAGTAACGTCGTAACCGCGCTTGGCCTGATTGACGCGGATTTCTCCTGTAGATGCCATGTAGTGGAAATACTGATTCGAGTGCACACCGGCTTTCTGAGGCGCTGCCCAGCCAGCTGTGTAAACACCTGTTCCGACCTTGCTAGGGTCATCCTTCTTCACCCAGTTGGTGAGCAGTGTGATGGTATCCTCGGTAGCAGGATCGCAGCCCAGTCCTGTTGCAATGCCCTTTGCAGCACTAGCCATGACGCGTACTGGCTTCCAATCGGGGATCATGGACTCGTTGATGTCGATGTGATGAGAATTGAGGTAGTAGGAGATATCAGAATCGATACCCGCCCAGGCCTTGAACGTCTCCAGTTGGCTCCTGATCGAAGTATTAGCAATTAGAGTCTTCGATTCAGTAGGGGTTGAATGTACTTTGGCTGGCTCATGTAGGAGTAGAAGTAGTTGAAATCGCCCAGCTTCTGCGCCCGGAAACGCGCATCAGCATACGCAGGATCATATCGCTTGTGGTGCTCAATGTAAACGAAGACATTGTGTTTCTTCGCAGCTGCCAAAAGCGCCTGGTGATGTTCCAGAAGCTTCACCGCGGGCTTCGTGATAAGGACGTGGATTCCGCGTTCGATGGCGTACAGAGCGATCGGGTAGTGAGTGGTGTCAGGTGTGAAGATGGTGACTAGGCAACGTCAATGGGAGGAGGCAATTGAGCGGGTATATATTGCAACTCACTGGCACTGCCCTTTGGAAGCGCGTCAATCGCTGTCTTGTACGCATTCGGATCGGTTTTGCCTTCCTTTGGGAACTCCTCAAATGACACGTCCAAGCTGTTGTATGCCTCGGAAATGTTCTTCTGGAGATGCTCGCCTGGCAAAATATCAGCATGCCGGACATGGTGAAACCGTCCAGATGCTGTGCGACTCACGGATTGCGGGGAATTTGCCGCCCGATGTGCCCACCATGGACAGCTTGCCCACTTTGCCGCGTCTTCGGAGGTCGAATAGCGTCAGGCCTACGACACCGACCTTCTTGTCCGACTTGGAGGCGCCCCCTCCGACGAATCCTGTCGTGTACTCTCCAGTACCGACCTGGCGTGCAATTAGCATTGACATGCGACGCGCCGCAGATGTGAGTGAGCCACAGAGCTGCGGCTAGACTGTGGTGAGGGGCAACGTACCATGAGTACTTCTACTGGCGCCATATTGACTGTAGTTTTGCAGGTTTGAGAAAAGGCCCAGATGATAGAGAGAATTGGCAGCTACTGTCCTGATCTCGAGCAAGATGAGACGAGACAAGAGTTGGAATTGAAGGGGATGCGCTGCTTCAATACCCGACACAGCTTCGTCGGCCTTTGACCACTTATCGATAGCGACGGAAGATATATGACCCAGCAACGCGATGAGGGGCACGAGGCCTCACGCGTGCTGCCGGCAGCCGCGGCCGGATGACGTTGCATCATTCGAGGCCTTGGTCATGGTGGGGGCTGTGTCTTGCTCAGCGCGGCGGTTTGCATCTGTTTCCGATGGCTGTGGCGTCTCCAGGCCGTCGAGGAAGCTGCGAGGCTCGTCTCGACATGGCGGAATTGTCTTGGAATAATTCCTTGGGGCACGCGTGGTGGTTGGCGTTTATTGTGCTCCGAGGGGTAACGAGGTTCCCCAGAGGCCAAGGAAAGAGCGACGCTGGCTTCCCCCACGCGCGTGCCCACCTGCTATTGGTGGAAGAATGCCACCCCGTCCACGACAGCCGTGCTGTGCCACTATGTTCGACAGCTAACCCTGCCCCAGGTGCAGCTCTATCCCATCAGACAACCGCCGACTTTAGTCACTCTCATAGAAAAGGCCGCAGAATGTCCCGCATTTCGCCCAGTGGTGTCCCGAACTCGCCAGATGGCCCACAGCCCTGCACCCAACCTCCAGTCTAGCCCTCGCCGTTGCGGTCCTTGGCGAATCAAACTCGACCATTCGACGAGATCTTGAACGGTAGAGCCACTGAGACACGCCAGTCCATGTGGGATGAGAAGTGAGCTCTGCCGAACTTAGCTCCTCTGACTTACTTTGCGCCGATTACCTCCATCTCGCTGCTATATTAAAGCTGACCGAACCCGTGTGTGCATCATCTTTATTGTTCGCCCCTTCCTCTCCCCCGAAACTTCCGTACTCGTATATTACTCACCTTGTTCTTTTCCAGTCTCAACTCTTCTTGATCATACATACCGCAAAGATGACATCAAACGGAAACGGGGCCAATGGCCACTCCAAAGAGCGTACTCCTCTTCGGCCAGGCATTTACTCGCCCACCATGACCTTCTTTGACCCCGAGACCGAGGAGCTAGATATCCCTACCATCAAGAAGCACGCAGTACGACTTGCCGAGGCTGGCCTTGTTGGTCTCGTCACCATGGGATCCAACGGAGAGGCTGTCCATCTGTCACGGGCTGAGAAGACCGCTGTCACGCGAGCAACCCGTGAGGCCCTCGATGAGGCTGGCTACCAAAACGTCCCGGTCATTGTCGGAGCTTCTGAACACGGCATCAAGCTTACCATTGAGCTCTGCAAAGAAGCAGAGGCGGCAGGTGGCGAGTACGTTCTTACTGTCCCTCCCAGCTATTACCGCTATGCCATCGACGAAGACGCCATTTACGAGTACTTTACCAAAGTCGCAGACGGCTCACCACTCCCAATCATTCTATACAACTACCCGGGAGCTGTTGCCGGCATCGATATGGACAGCGACCTCATCATCAAGCTTGGAAAGCACCCAAACATTGTTGGTACCAAGTTCACATGCGGTAACACTGGCAAACTCACCCGTGTCGCCCTTGCTACCAACGCCTGCACAATGAAGACCGAAGGTAGTGGCTACATGGCCTTTGGTGGCATGGCCGACTTCACAGCTCAGACTGCTGCTAGTGGCGGATCGGGAATCATCGCTGGTGGTGCGAACGTTCTGCCGAAGACATGCGTCAAGGTCTGGAACCTATGGGCGGAAGGCAAATACGACGAAGCCATTGAACTTCAGAAGGTACTCAGCAAAGGCGATTGGGTTCTCACAAAAGCAGCTATTCCTGGAACCAAGTCAGCACTCCAGTCGTATTACGGCTACGGCGGATACCCCCGCCGGCCGCTCAAGAGGCTTCCGCAAGAGAAAGTCGATGCAGTTGCAGAGGGTATCAAGGAAGTCATGGAGGTGGAGAAGAAGTTATAGTTGCTTTCAGTTGTGTTTCCTTGCGTTCATGGTTAGTTGCACTGCCTTTTCTCCGCCCATACTTGTTGACATTGGGGGGCAAAAGCGTCTGTCTGCATTTACGATGCTTCCGTTATCATGTACAGCCGTACCACAATAGATATCCTTTTTGGTTGTTCTCGTTGTGGAACTCGTTTTTGAGTGGGGCAATCCAACATAGCTGACTGCACCTGGAGGTTCCAAGATCGCGCCTTCCTAGCTGCGTCGTCACGTGCTAGCGTGAGAATATCGCACCTGCCTTGCAGTCCCAATGCACCATCGTAGAACAGCAACACACTCCCTCGCGCCACCTTTGCCTGCCTTCAGTCACTATCTCTCAGCCTCACCGGTCGGCTGCTTGCTGCCATTCCAATACCCGGTCGCGTCTGGAACCTAGCTGCCCTAGCGACTAGCGACGCAGCATCCTTGCCATGGCGATCGAAATATCGGACGCAAAAACTAGATCGCACACCAACGTTTCGCCGCCTTTGCCATTCCAAGGTTTTCTGCCCGAGCGGTAGTCGCGGTACCTATCACAGCCGGCGTTTTGTCTCGCATGTTGAGCTCAGCCTCGGCCGACGCCGAAGATTCTGGCCATGTGAATGTGACACGGCACATACGTGCGTCCCCAGCTTAACAGCTGTAAAGTGTACATTGGCACTTTGGAAAATATCTACAGTTCGCTGGCCTGATTGCAGCACAGCTAATCGCTCAAAAAGCGCCATCCACAGCTGCATGCAGCTGATCGCATGCGCCTGCTTACGTGTCTTCATAACCACGCGTCGAAAAAGAGATTATAGTTGTACAACGCTCCAGCCAGGTATCCAGCCCGCAGGCTTGTCCGAGTCGCTCCAGACGCCGAATCCCACAAACTTGCTTCGAACGATTTGCGGCTCACTTATATGGCCAATCCGTTTCCTAAACTTGTCCAGCGATACAAGGATAGGACTTCCCGCCGCTTCGCAGGCGTCATCTCTCTGGCGTGGCCGTGGCCTTTTATTTGCGCTAATGTCGAGATCATCACTTTGCGGAAGTTTCTCTGTGTCTCGTTAGCGCTGTCACATCCAGAGACCGGAGTGATGCGGCTTACCTGATACTCGGTGTTGAGAGTCACAACGGCCGCCTCGTGTGCCCGGACAATGGTTTCGCACGCTCGAATAACCCCGTCATTGGTCTCGGTCGATAGCTTGTCCGCTAGAAGGAGCAGGATCAGACTTCCTTGCAGGAGATACATGCCGAACAAGTAGGGCATAAACGACAGATCCGGATCAACGTCCAGTATAACTTCTACCGCATGCGCAGCGGATATCGCGTTGGAAGTCGCCGCAAGGAAGGACTGTGAGCAAATCCACATGTTGTCGTCCTCCAATAGTGCCACCGGATCCCATTTGCCGTGTAACAGGATATGCAACACGTGCATGATGTGGGTGGCATATGCCGCGACTTTCCTCGTCTGATGCATCCACTCGCTCCGAACTGGGTCTGGGGTGCTGTTGGCCTGCGCTTCCTCATTCGAGCCGCAGCCATGTTGTGCCTTGAAGTCCTCGATGCTGTACGCGTACCGTTCTAACTGGCGGGTGATTTCTGCCTCGTGGAGCTCCCAGGATGTCCGTTGGCCGAATCTTGGATGGTTCTTCTGTGCATTCAGATCTACAATGTCTCCGAGAATCGTCATCAAGGGCAGGAAGAAACCGAAAATGTCATGCCTGTAAAAGTTAGCCTCGTGTTCAGACTCATCGTCATGTGCCGAAGAAACTCCCACTAGAGCATCTTTCGGCCGCGGTGCGTACGTACGATGTGCACTCAAAATTGAGTCCCCGTTTCCGTGACCCAGGGTGGCCAGTGTAGAACTCGCCCGTCTGCCAGAGGGTGTCAGGAACCGGCTGGAACAAGTCCTCGCATTCGTTGTCGAGCATCGCCAACGGTCGGTTGTAGCAGAGGCCAAGGTGCCGGTCAACCATGTACAGCAACCACCACAGTCGGCGCCTTTCTTCCTTCATCTCTTCCACGATTGCTGCGGATGGTGTGCCCACAGGTGCCTGCGCGCTGGCGCCTTCCGGCATACCCGCCTCAATCTCCTTCTCTGATGCAGCTGTCTCTCGCTCTTTCACGGGTCCTTGTGGCAGTTCTCGGCCTAATTTTAGTTCTCGAGCCAGCGACCATGCCGCGTTCCACCACCGCAAAGAAGCCGCTTTGTATTCGCTCGCGGACGTCACGACTCCGAGGTTGATGTACGTAGCAACATCATCCAGGGTGCTGGTAGGTGGCATTGCTCCGTCGGGTCTTCCATCGTATCGTCCTATAGCTCGGTCAACTCCGAAAGCGTCGTGTGCGGCAGATGTCAAGCCAGGTCCAGGAGCGAAACCGTGAGAGGATGGAGAGTGGACAAGAGGCTTGAGCAGATCTACTGTGAGCTTCCACAGCTTCTGGCTGATGATAGCTCTGGCTGACGGCGAAGATGTCAGATAGCTCGCTTCACTCGTCTGGGCAGCGACCCATAGCATGCTTGATAACAGAGCGGGGCTGCATTTCCTGGGCTTGTGTTGTCGGAGGAAACTTCGCTTCCTGAAAACGGATCCGAGAATGTACGGCGAAACCGGTTCCATGAATACCGACGAGGAACTTTGGAAGTAGAATTCGAGGAGATCGCATGCGGTGGTGACATTGAGTATCGGTCCTAGGTGGGGTAGTAGTGGCCCCAAAACAGGGTATCTGCAAGCGGCGAGGGCGGCGCCGTTTTGGGAGGAGTTCGCGCTCACTCCAGACTGCGGTGATCCGGTGTCTACAGAACCATAGCTGTGTGGAGACGATTGCCTTCCTGTTGCTTGGTACTGCATTGGATACGTCATGTTGGCGTACTCCGGAGGGATCGAAACCGGTGTACCATTAGGACCCGGAATAAGGTGCATGCCTGTGACTGTCAGCGGCGCTGCTAATATACCACGCATCGCAGATACGCTGGGGGGGTTTCGAGTAACATACGAGACAAACGAGACATGTACACAGACTGGGAGTTTTGTGAAGCACTCCGAGCTCGGCCATCGTACGTACCGTTCATGGCGTACATCAGCTCTTCGCGAGGCATCTCGGCATGCATGGCCGGGTACGCAGCACCAGAACCAAGAAGCAATGGGTCGATCATCATGTGGTTGACAGGTGGATCGAATGTCGTGCCAGGGTTCAGAGCTTGCCAGTCACCTGCAGGCAGACCACCTTTGCCGGCTGGGAAATGTTGTACAACTGGTGTTGCTTCAGATTGCGACCAAACATCTTCGTCCATCTCTGCCATTACGCCGGGCCTCTCGTAATAACTCGAAATTCCATTGGGGGTTTGCGGACTACCACTGGCAGCTGCCTCTTCTCGCTGCTTCTGGATGTGCCTCGGGACCTGCGACTCGTTAGCTACTCGATGTACTTTAAATGCGCGATGTACACGCGATACCAAATGCTTCACGTTGAGGTGAGGGACAAGGTTGTTGATCGTTGGAGGTGCTTACTTTTCCGCGTCGTTTCTTTTCACGGTTGTACTGGCAGACGTACTCGAGCTCTATGCAGCGCGAACACGGAGCTTGGCCGTTGCATCTTGTTCTCATTCGATGGCAATGATCGCATGCTCGGCTCACTCTTCGCTTCACGGGTGCCGAGCCACGACGTTCAAGCTTGGGTGTCTCTGCTGTTGTTGTCTCCATGGTTGCGTTTGTGAGTTGGGATGACGACTATGACTTCAACCGGCCGCCGTTGTCCCTACATAAGATCAGCATAAGACGGCCCCCACCAAACACGGCCGACGTACTACTTTGTTCCAATGTGGCGACTCAATTCGAGAGCAGCGATTTGCGAGGGAACGGCAGTTTGTGCACGCGGGTGACGTCGCGGGAGTACTTGAGGACGAAGGAGTCGGTTGCCGGAAATCTGGGGACGACCACGGGTCATGCGATACTTGGGGAGCATATGTGGGCCTCCGACAAAGCTTTGGGTGCCGAGGATACACCCCGACTGTGAAATGTCCTAAGCTGCAAAGACGATTCCAAGGGTCAGTGTGACGATCTGTGGCTTGAAGATTCCATGCGTCCACGCGGGCTTCGAGAAGCGAGATCAACTGGAGAGCAATATCAGAAGACGCAATGTTTAATTCGAGCATTCATGGATGTATGAAAGCTACGACCCATTGGCTACGGCAACCAGGCTCTGGGGCAAGACGTGGCAAGGGTCAGGAACACCGTAGCAGGGGACCGTAGCAAGGGTCAGAAAATCCTACCGCATGATTCGAGCATGGCTAAATACAAATTAGCCGGTGGGAGATGCGCTGCGCAGCGTCGGCGCTAGGAGCGAACCGCAGAGAGCCCCGCTTCTTCGAAGTTCACACCGCACGTCAGCTTCCCGCCAATCCTTGCCTGCGCCGACTACCAATACCTCCTGGCACTTTCTCCAGGTTGTGGCTTGTAGCGCCTGACCATGAATAAGACCCCGAAGCTCTTGCGCAACATGCGTGTCGGAGGTATCATCTTAACGCGCCCGCTATAGCCCCCCTTCGCCGATATTTGGCGCGCCACATTGGGAGCGCTGCTGGTTTGGAATGCCCTCATCTGCTGAAACGGCTTCCGTCCCGTTTCATGGTACCTGGACATCATTGGCGTGCCCTTGCCCGTCAAGGACCAGACGTCAGAACGTCAAAAATATGCACGCTGCCATGGCATCTGAAACCCGATACCTGATACCGACAACGATCTTCTCGTGAAGGCATGGCACGACCTTTGCGCTACGCCCAATGATATCCACACCCGGTCCCACTCCCTTGAAGGAGCGTGCGTGAGTCTCGACCCGCGGACAAGCTTATATTTCAGTATCCACAAAGGAGTCATTAGTACTGAGCGTCGCCGGGCTGCTAACACGGGTACTGTATTCGAGCGCACACCGCGACAGCTACGTTGGTTGAAGCGTGAGCTAGGTGTGTCGGTGGATTTTGGCCAAACTTTGTTATGTGGCTTCGCGGTCCCCGCCATGCAGGAGAAGCCGAGCAGTCCTAGGGCCTCTAAGCGACGTTGTAGTGCCTGCAAACCCACCTCCGATATGTGGTCGGCCCAACGTCACCGTTTTTCGTCTATATGCGGAACACCGCGAACTGGCCGTATAATCCTTCTGCCAGCACACCAACAACGTGAACGGTCCAACGACTAACGAACTGGTCGCAATAGCTCTGGAACCAAAAGTCCAACATTGGATCCGCTTATAACTTCATCGAACGGAGACTATCCAGGCATCCTGAGCTTATCTCAGGTACGCGCTACACGGCAAGTTCTCGAAGACTCAAACTTGGAAGCCTCCTCGGGTGTCTTGACCAGTTCGTCAGAGTCTTGCAGCTGGGTCTTCAGACCCACGTGGGCGCCATCCGTTGAACAAAACTCTCCTCAGCTGAAACCGTTGGCCGATGGAAAGGGATGGCACTGCTCCCTGGCTCCGTGCCAACGATCTTCATAATTCTGCCCAATTTTGTCGTCACATACTGAGAGTTTGATCCACACCAAGACGAGGGCAGCGCCTGCCGGCCCGTTGAACTAGCTTGCAGCCTCGCAGAATACTAGATGCTGCACCACCACTGAAGTGTTGACTTCTCCGGCCCTACAGGTAGACAGTAAGATTGCTTCATTCTGAGAGGCTGCGCGTTGCGACCACGAGGGGGGCCCGCAATACATCTGCAAGTTCCAGTGCGAGGGCCCGCACAATGAACATGCATAAGGGCAGAACCCCTTCACTCTGGCTTCGACAAGATGACCAATCTGTGCCTTCTGGGTCCTCTCGCCTGCAGGCAGGCGCCAAAGCTCATCCTCTTTGTGTCAAGCCCCGAGACGTGTGACCATACAGCTTTGGCCTTCCTATCTCTGTAAGAGTCAAGCTGATGCAGGATCCCACTCACATTGTACTCATGAACGCAACTGTCCGGATCATAATCTATTGAAAGCCATGTTTCCCCACAAAAGATGGGTTTGGATTGCAGTTTGGCGACTGCGTCTGCTCATGCAGTTCGACAGTTCGAGGCCTCAAGGCTTGTTGCCAGCTTGCGACGCTTCACTCGCCCTGGCTTATTCACCACTCACAGACCGGATCCCCGCACGTATTTGCTGAATTTTTGCTCCTTTCCTGTAATATGGAACGACATTATTCCAGCCACACAGAGGTTGTTCAATATGGGCGGGAGACGTGTTCAGTGCATACTGTACTTACTGCTAGATCAAGGATTCAACACCAGGACACTCGTGATCAAGCGCAGTTGAGTTCACTATGACCATCCCCAGACTATATACTCCTGAGCAATATGAGCTGGAACTCAGACTCGCTAGTTAGGTACTATGGCATGCAGCAGGACCTGCCTCTGTCATGTACCCCAGATTTTCCAACCAGTGAAGCCGGGAACGTGGCCTACACCAAACCTGGGGAACTGACAGCGTCGGCTGAACGGACGGTCCACCCGCTTCGCAAAGACGATGCTTGTCTGCCCTGTAAATCTTATGACCCGCTTCGCTCGACTATACTCTAGGAGGTGCGATGTTCACCGTTGAGATCGATCCGTGACAGTTCTGCGGGGGCGCCGCCTACCGCGTCGGCTATGGCAGAGGCGAAATAGCCGTAGTATAACAGCTACGGCTCGAAACCTCACAGCTGGGGCATCAGGCTTCCTCAGACCCTTGAGGCTTAACCGGCTCATTCTAGCGAGCCTAACCGTCGTTGCCGCCGTCGCAGAGCAGCGTACGATCATGCAGCCTGCAGCTGATCGAGCAATAATGCGGGGAGAGTATCAGACTGGGGAAGGGACTGATGGTGTTGCGGGACGCAAGTCTGACGCATGCTGCATGGAGGAATAACTGATGAAAGGGGCCACGCCTGTTGGTGGCTCAAAATAGTCCGTCCTGCTGATACAGGTGCAGGCACCACTATGGGTGAGATGCAGGTGCTCTGCACAAACCCGGGGCGATATACATGCTCCCCTGAACTGATAAACACTGCGTGTTCGCCCTTCATCAAACCAGTCAGCAGCCCTCGCACTTGCTCTGGGAACACGACTGATCCTTCTTCGAGCCCCTGTGGAATGATACCGGGAGGCGACGTGTTCCGTACCCGTGGTTATGTCCTTCCATTCACGGATAGGCCGGGTGAGCTGATGCTCCCGGCACACAGGAAGCTCTGATTGATGTCTTTGAGACGAGTAAGATTCAACCATGCCTAGGCGCGCGTTTTTTCTGAGGCAATCTCTGATCCCTCGCTCGATGGCTGAGTCCATGGCTGAGTTTCCAAGTTTCGAGCGGGTGTCACCGCATGCCCACCGTCACGGCAACAGGCGATGCCGTCCGGATCTTTCCAGCCACCTGAGCGGTAGGCACCAGCCCATGCGCGTGGCAGACACTGTCACAAACGCTTGGTCCCTCTCGCAATTAACAGACACTAGATCTGTCTGTTGGGCCCAGACTGACGGTGAGTGTTAGCACACAAGCTGCCATTAGGTCCTTTTGTTTTTCAAGTATCTGAGTGCAGCTGCATCGGCACTTGGTGGTAGCGTACTCTGGGGACAGCCGGCCTAACACTAGGCTACCCAGCTCTGCGATCGCGAGCAAGCAAGCGCTCCTCAGCTCCGACACCGTACGGGCAGTTTCCCGGGCTCCAACAAAGTCTTGGGACACCCTTCTCGAACGTTTCAGACAAACAAATGTGCAACTTGACAGCAATCGGAGCGTTCGCGGTGTTATACGGGATCAACGGGCCTGACCTCGCGAACAGACACTAGTATTGTACTAGTGTAATGTCCCGTCAACCGTGATGAGCCCGCCACTTTCCATCCATCATTTCTTAAGTCACACCCCTGATGACTGAGTGTTACGCAACCAAGCTTGCAAACCTGGATATTCCCTACTTTGTTGACATTCTTGGCAGGCCGCATATACTTCACCTTTCGGGCTTAGAGTCCTGGTGTGGTTCTGTGACTAAGTAAAATGATGAATGGTCTTGAAACTCACCCGAGCTCACGCGAGAAAATGCCAAGATGTAAAGTTCCAAGTGGGTCATAGTCACGAACGAGCAGTGCTGGTGGGAATGGTGCAGGTCTACCCTGACTTGTTTGGCGTTTCGTAGATGGTACCTGCAGTGATGCGATGGTGGCGCAATGTTGTTTATAGTCTGGAACTTGAGGGTGTTAGTTGGCGTGAAAGTGTGCGCCGTCTAGGACGATTGTAACAAAGTTCGGATTCGGGTTCTGGTGCGCTACTAGGTAGACTCTAATTTGACTTGATCCGATTGGTCAAGCACCCAGAATCCTCGGATGCGATTGGCTACAGATCAAGGGTTTCAAGGTTGCTTGTCCGCTCCTCTCTCACATGAAGCACCCTCATGCCCAAGGACCTTCCCTATGACGAGACGTCGTTTGTCGTCATTTGGAATATGCAAAAATAACTTACTTTTGCTTCTCGGCATCCTGCTTCATGCCGCCCTGGATCCATTTGCGGCTCTTGGCAGCGTACTCCTCCATCTTGTTCTTGTCTGCGAGGAGCTCTTTGATCGTGTGAGGGTCCGGGACATGACGACCCTTTTCAACACCGGGTCGGGATGTCATGCGCTCTTCCCAGGCCTTGAGGGAAGGAAATTCGTCAATATCAACCCCAGCCCAGCCTGCGGACGCCACCCAGCCATAGTGCGAGATATC